GATTTTCACAGTGGCTATATTATTTTATATTTCTATGAGCAAAGTGTGAGGAGATTTCCAGTTGTTTCACATCTTTACTAGCATTTGGTATTGTCAGGTTTTTTGAGTTTAGCCATTCTAATAAGTAGGTAACTGATATCTCATTATGGTTCAATTTGTATTTACCTAATGACTCATACTATTCTTGACATTTCTGTATCTTCTTTGGTGAAGTGTTTATTCAAACTCTATTCTCATTTTTAAAAATTGGATGGTGTTCTTTTTTATTTTAAAGATGTGGGGTACAATTCAGAGTTAGGTACGTAAGTGGTCATCATGCAAGTGAAGTTTGGGCCTCTCATTGGTTCTCACATTGCTTGCTTTTGGATCAGGTACCCTTATTAATGTTATATGCCTCCCCCCCCTCGGCAGTTACCTGCTTCTGCCAATCCCTTTCATGCAGTATTATGATAAATGTTCAGGGTCCACTTATGAATGAGAACATGTGGTACTCAGTTCTTCATTTCTGTGATAGATTACTGAGTATGATACAATCCACGGTGCTGCGAAGTCCATAATTTTGTCCTTCTTTATAGCTGAGTAATATTCCATTGTGTATATGTACCTCATTTTTTAAATCCAGTCCACTTTTGATGGGCAGCACTGTGGATTCCATGTTTTTGCTATTGTCAATAGTGCTGCAATAAGCATGCGTGCACAGGTATCTTTTTAAGTTTTAATTTCCTTTAACAGAAATGTAATTTGCAATATTTTCTCTCAGTCTGTGGCTTTTCTTTTCATTTTCTGATCTCTATTTTTCAAAAGCAGAAGTCCTTAATTTTGATAAAGTCCTATTTTACAATATTTCTTTACAGTTTCTTACAATTTTTCTTCTCTTTGCCTAACCTTAGATCACAAAAATACTCTCCTGTGTATTCTTTTAGAAGTTTTAAAGTATTCGATTTTACTTTAACGTCTATGATCCATGTTGCATTCATTTTTATATAGTATGAAATGTGGATTAAGGTTCATTTTTATTTTGCTTTGCATATAACTATCCAAATATTTCTGTAGCATTTGTTGAAAATAGTATCCTTTCTTTATTGAACTGCCTTTGCACCTTTGTTGAAAATCAATTGACTACCTATGAGTGGGTCTATTTTTTACTCTGTTCTATTCTATTGATATATTTGTCTAATCTTAAAAATGCCAGCTTTATATTAAATATCCAATGTCTTTCATCTTCAGAATTGTTTTGACTATTCTACTGCCTTTTTCTTTCCATATATTTTTTTTTTTTTGAGTTGGAGTCTCAGTCTGTCACCCAGGCTAGAGTGCAGTGGCATGTTCATGGCCACCCCAGCATCAATCCACTGGGCTCAGGCAATCCTGCCACCTCAACTTTCCAAGTAGCCGGAACCATAGGCGCATGCTGCTATGCCCGGTTAACTTGTTTATTTATTGTAGAGATGAGGTCTCGCCAAGTTGTCCAGTCTGGTCTTGAACCTGTGAGATCAGGCAATCCTCTTGCCTCAGCCTCCCAAAGTGCTGGATTTACAGACTTGAGCCTAAATTTTGTATTAGATAGCCAATTTTTATATATCCTGCTGGTAATTGGATTTAGATTGCATAAAATCTATAAACCACTTTGAAGATAATTGAAATCTTAACAATATTGTGTCTTCCAATTCACAAATAAGGTGGTATATCTCTTTATTTTTTTAGGCCTTTATTGATTTCTTATACCAGTGTTTTTTTTTTTTTTTTTAGTTTTCTGAGTACAGATCTTACACATATTTTGCTAGATTTATACCTCAGTATTTTCATATTTTGGGGATAGTACATTTTCAGGTTTCAATTACTAATTGTTCATTATAGAATATATAAATATGATGTTTTTGCATATTGAACTTGTATCTTCAAGTCTTGCTAAATTCTTACTATTGATAGTAACTTAAATAGATTCTTGGAGATTTTTCTGCGTAGAAAATCATGTTATCTGTAAGTAGAAAGTTTTTGCTTTTTTTTTTTTTCTTTTAGCATTTAGTCCTTTATTATTATTTTTTTATTACCCAATTTCACTAGCTAAGATCTTTAGGAATGGTGGAACAGACATTCTTACATAATTTCTGATCTCTCTCTCTCTCTCTCTCTCTCTCTCTCTCTCTCTCTCTTTTTTTTTTTTTTTTTGAGTTGAAGTCTCAGTCTGTTGCCCAGGCTGGAGTGTAGTGGTACGCTCACGGCCACACCAATGTTGACCTGCTGGACTCCCGCTATCCTTCCGCCTCAGCCTTCCAAGTAGGCGGAACTACAGGCATGTGCTACCATGCCCGGGTAATTTTTTGATTTATTGTAGAGACGAGGTCTCGCCAAGTTGCCCAGGCTGATCTCGAACCTGCGGGCTTAGGCAATCCATTTGCCCTGGCCTCCCAAAGTCCTGGGATTACAGGCTGAGCCTCCGAGCCTGGCCTAATTTCTGATCTTAAGGGGAAAGCATTTGGTCTTTTGCCATTAAGTGTGATGTAAGCTGTAGATTTCTTATTGATTTCCTTTATCAGCTTGAGGATGTCCTCCTTCTATTTTGCTGAGAGTTTCTGTCATGAATGGGTGTAGAATTTTATCAAATGATGTTTCTGCATCTATTGCGGTGATATATGGTTTTCCTTCTTTAGTTCGTTGATATGGTAAATTATATTGATTGAATTATGAATATTGAACTAGCCTTGAGTTTCTAGGATAAGCCCCACTTGCTTATGAAGTATCCTTTCTATATATTGTTGGATTTAATTTGCGAACATTTTGTCAAGAATCTTTATCTTGAGGGATATTGGTCTGTAGTTTATATTAATATCTTATTTTGGTTCTGGTATCAGTGAAATGTTTGCATCAAAGATTCACTTGGAAAGCATTCCCTCCTCTTAGTTTTCTGGAAGGATTTGATAGAATATTTAATAGAATTTACCAGTAAAGTCATCTGGTTCTGGAATTTTGTTTGTGAGAAGGTTTTCAGCTACAAATTCAAATTTTTACAAAGATACAGGACTATTCAGGTTATTCGTCTATCTCGTCTTGATTGAGCTTTGGTAATTTATGTCTTTCAAAGAATTAATCCATCTCATCTAAGTTGTTAAACTCACTGGCATAAAGTTATTCATAGTATTCCCTTTTTACCCTTTTAATGTCAGTAGGCACTGAAATGAAGTCCTCTCTTTTGTACCTAATATTGGTACTTTGCATCTTCTTTCTTATTATCTTTGTTAGTTTTGCTAGAAGTTTATCAATGTCATTGATCTTCCTAAGAACCAGTTTTGATCTCATTGATTTTTTTAAATTGGTTTTCTGTCTTCAATTTCATTGATTTCTGCTCTTTATTATTCTCTCCTTTTATTTTTTTTGTTTATTTTGCTCTACTTTTTCTAGATTCTTGTGTTGATTTGAGACTTTTCTTCTAATATGAATTTCTTTTTAAGTACTTCCTTAACTGAGTCTCACAATGATGTGCTGTGTTTTTATTTTCACTTGGTACAAAATACTTTCTATTTTACCTTTTGATTTCTTCTTCAACCCATGTATGTTACCAGTTTGTTAAAAGTGGTTATTTTCTAGCTAGGCGTGTTAGTACCCGCCTGTAGTTCCAGCTACTTGGAAGGCTGAGGCGGAAGGATTTCCGGAGCCCAGTAGGTCGAGGCTGCAGTGGCCGGGAGCGAAATGAGACATTTGTTTCAGTGCAGTTTTAGTTTGAATCTCTGATTACTAGTGAGATTAAACATCTTTTCATGTTTATTCTCTGTTCCCATTTCTTCTTTTCTCTGAATTGCCTGTTCTTGTCCTTAGATTATTGTTTTATTGGATTGATTGGTCCTTTGCTTATTTATTTGAGTGATTTAAAATATTCCAGTACTAATACTTTGTTTATTATTTGTTGGAAATATCTTCTCTCAGTTTCTTGTTTATCTGTCTTTTCTTTATTCTTTCAGTTTTGATCATCAGGGAAATGTGTACTAGAGTGAGGAAGATTAATGTGTTTGTTACAAGAGTGATATTGGTTTATTTTGACCATTTATGAAGGGAAGCAGGAGATAGAAGAGGATGAGATTAGAAGATAAACCACTTAATCTGGAAATTCCATTTACATTTTCAATGCTTAAACATGCTTGTTGCTTACACTCGCTTACTGGCCACAGTGTACTAGGTCCATGTGATGAATAGAGAGTAAGGAATAAATGTTTCCTACTTTTAAGGACCCTGATGGAGGAACAAGACATGTGAAATAAGACAGGTAACATGGTATGTTGTTAGGTAAACTATGGTATAAGATAAGCTGTGGTTACCAAAATTTCTATTTCAGCAGAGGGGTGTGAGTGGTTTGAGTTAATTGGGAATTGTCTGTGCCAAAGAAGTCTGTAAATTGAATGGGAGCAGGAACTTTGCATAAACATTTTTTCTCTTCATTTTATCTCCAGCACTTAGCATTGTGCCTGACCAGCAGCCAGTGCTCAAATATGTTTAATGATTGAATGATATTAACATTTGTAGGTCAAGCCCTTTATAGAGACTTAACACAATGTGCATAGTCCATCACTCCTACTCTACCACCAAACAGCTCTGAAAATGTTCTGACACATCTGCATTTCAGAATTAGCTTGCATTTTCAAAGAAAGATAAAACCTTTTCAATAAAAGGACACATAGCATCTTACTATTGTAACAGAGCAGTAGATTTTGGGCTTCATTGTCAGACGAATGTGGGTTAGAGTCCTCTCTCAACTTCTTACTGGTTATATGACCCTTGATTTTCCTCATCCCTAAAATGAAACTAATAGCAGTGTCTACCTTCTGGGCCACTGTGAGGATCCAGTGAGTCAAGTGTGTAAAACATGAGCTCATAGTAGGGGTTCTATAAATACTCACTGTCTCTTCTCCTGATATACACTAAAACGGATGAAACCTGTGATTGCCTTTGAATTTTGTGACTTGATCCATGTTTCCTAACAGACATATTCTTCATCTCCTTCCTCACAGATTCAGAGACATATTGTGTGTTTCAAGACAAGAAGTACAGAGTGGGTGAAAGATGGCATCCTTACCTGGAACCTTACGGGTTGGTTTACTGTGTGAACTGCATCTGCTCAGAGGTACAATCCCTCATGACATATAATTTCCCAGTTTGCTCCTCAGTTTGCAGAGCGGCCAGGGAGCATGGTTGATAAGAGCCTAAAAAAAGTTAAGAAGCTGATTGGAAGGAAAAATAAACATCTCTTGTCTTTAATCCTCTTGTTTTTGGGGCTTGATTTTCATGAGCTTTCTGAGTATTTGCTATGGACAGATACTTATGTTCTCTTAGCCTAATGATATAGGACATGGCAGGAGAAGGTAGAAGAGCTTGATAGTTGGAATGAGGAAAAAGCTCAACATAACGTTTGGACTATAAGACAAAATAGATTTTTTTTTTTTTTTGAGTTAGAGTCTTACTCTGTCGCCTAGGCTGGAGTGCAGTGGCATACTCATAGCCACCCCGGCATCAACATGCTGGGCTCTGGTGATCCTTCTGCCTCAGCCTTCCAAGTAACTGGAACTACAGGCATGCTACCATTCCTGGCTAATTTTTAAAAATTTATCTTAGAGATGAGGTCTCGCCAAGTTGCCCGAGCTGGTCTCAAACCCGTGGGCTCAGGCAATCCACTTGCCTCAGCCTCCCAAAGTGCTGGAATTACAGGCTGAGCCACCGAACCCGGCCCAAAATAGGTTTTAAAAACTATTTTAAGGCTGACCTTTATAGAGGAGATGAGGACAGATTATAAACTGTTTCACTGGGAGAGTGGATTTTATGTTGTCTCAGCCAATAACTGTAATTAAGACTGAGTTTGTGAAACCTTGGCCTGTACCTGGTAAGGATTAGAGTTGTCTTGGCTTGGCCTTGGCTCCTGTCCAATCACTCAGAGAGGCATTTGGACAGCTTAAATGCCATGTTTGCAATAGATAAAGCAGGTAGTTCTGTCTTCTTTCCATGGCCTTGACACAGGACCACAGCTGTGGTCCATCTTTCTGAAGAAGCCTCTATGTATTAGGCCAGAGTTTCTCAACCTCTGCACTACTGACTTTTGGGGGCAGATAATTCCTTGTGGTAGGGTGTTATCCTGTGCATTGTAGGATGTTTAGCAGCATCCCTGGCCTCTATTCACTAGTTGATAGTAGTACCAATCCCAGTTGTGGAAACCAAAAATGTCTCCAGACACAGCCAAGTTGCCTGGGAGAAAAATAACTTCTGCGCTAGACCAATTGGGAAGGGGTCTTGTACTAGGCCTTGAGAATTCTGAACATAAACAAAGAATTTTTAAGACCATGTGTAAGAATTGCAACGCCTCCCTTATGCCCAGCTAGAGTAGGAGCAGTCACTTGCAAGCTGGATCCTTTTACCATCTGAAGAGAATTCTGAATATGTAGAAACCTAATTATCAGTCAACAGCGAGCAATATTAAGAGGCTATGGGGTTCTGGAATAATGACAGATCAAGTTTTCAACCCTGGTCTGCCACCTATGAGCCACGCTACATTGGACAAGTTACCTAACCTCTCTGTGATTCCTTCAACTTCCTCTTCTGTAGAATGGGATAATGATATTTTCTGTTCCATAGAATTGTGGTAAGGATTAAATTCACAAATCCATTTAAATCACTTAAAACAGTGCTTGGTCATGGTAAATGGTCAAGAAATGTTAACTGCTGTCATTGTCATCATTATCATCCTTATCATTGTGGTTATTATTATTATTAATCTATTAACTCTGGAACAGAATTTAGCATACAGCATACCTCAGCTAGGAGGTGTGGTTTCTGATGTGCTTCACTGATTTCACTTCAAGATGATACCACCTGCCTCTGAGGAAGGAGTATAATACATAAGGAACCTCTGTGGTGTTTCCAAATGCAGCATTCCAAAAATTTATTCTAGGAAGTACACAAGAAAAGGAAAAGGCTGTGGTAAGGTCATTCCAATTTGGATAAAAGAAACCTGCCTCTTTAAATGGCTAGAGCATGTATTAAGTAGAGCATTTGGGGACTGATTAACTGCCTGGTATGGCCTGATTTTGTCGGATTCTTGACCCAACACATTGGAGACGGACAGCTAATGATTGGGGACTGAGGCTTTGATGTCTTCAGGGCAGTGAAAATGTTTATATGACCCCAATGCCAACAGCTCAAGCACTAGACATCTTCTCTTTTTCTATCCTCTTCACTACCTTCTTCCCCGAAACAGCCTGACAGATACGAGTAGCCCTTGCTTCAAATGAATTATGGATGGAAAGTGTAAATGAAAAATTTATTTCCAGTCTTCTTTTGTTCTAGCAATGGTTGAGAACTGTCAGAGCTAGGAATTTTGGAATTGTAAATCGGGCAGGAACCCAGGTGCCCCACCCAGGCATACTACCTAGTCTGCTTGATTCCAAACTCTAGCTTGTTTTCAGAAGAATTTTGGCTGTAAAAGGAAATGAGAAGAGTCTCTCAGCCTACTGAGCCAAAGCAGAGTTACATGGAATCCAGGATTCGTGTGCTAGGAATGCCTTCTTGCCCAGGACTGGGTGGCAGCTCAGGGGACCTATTGCTCATTATCTCTTCTCTTCCATGGCATTGGGCAGGTGGTTATGAAATCAGAGTAGGTTCTTGGGAAAGACATGTAGTTAGAGCTGGAGAATGGTAGAAATGCCACAGAGCCAGGCCAGAAGCAGCCTCCCATAATTAATGGGAGCTTTGAAAATTGGAGCAGTAGTGATCCCAGCCTTAGAAAAACATGCCAATAAGCTATCAACCAACCCAGCAGAGGTGCTAGTGATGAGAAAAGGAAAGAAAATGTTGATTGCATTCAGCTTCTTGGGAATGCGTTATTCACTGTCTGGGTGAGTCCCTGTATGACTGTTTCTCAAACTGGCATGATCCCAGTGACCTTTGAAAGACATTCGTGTTTTTTTTCTTTCTTTCTTGCTGCCTTTTCTTTTTCAGAACGGGAATGTGCTTTGCAGCCGAGTCAGATGTCCAAATGTTCATTGCCTCTCTCCTGTGCATATTCCTCATCTGTGCTGCCCTCGCTGCCCAGGTAAACCAATTTGCCTCTTTCTTTCCCAGCCGAGGTTCTCCTTCCTCCCTCCCTCTTCACCCAGCTCAACCCATCTCCCTAATTCTTCAGAAGGGAAACTTCCAGAGATAACAATAGGACACTATTAGGCAGTCCAAACTGGCCACTAAATACTTTTTATAACCCACACAGGGTACATTCTAGGCTCTAATAAGTTATTGGGTACCCAGTAACAGATTTTTATTGGACTTTTAATCATTTGAATGTGGGTGTCAATTGGGGGATAGGAATTGTGGCCTAGAGATTTTCAGCCATAAACAGCCTCTTCCCACTATGGGCAGCAGGCACCAGGGGAGTTGTAGCATGGCGGCACGTGTCCTATGCAATTAGTGCTGGAATTGCATCCGAGCATAGCTTCTAAATTATGAGGGGGCTGTTCATAAATCAAAGGAGCTGAACCAGTGAGGTTTATGACAGTATAAAGCTGCCTGCCTGCCGAATAGTCACCTCCTCCAGACTGCACAGTTATATACACATTGTTAAGGGCAACTCAAAGGGGGAACCAGGCAGAGACTTTTTCACAAGGCTATTAGGACGTCTACTTTCACAATTTGCGACTAGGATATTTGTCTGAGGCGGGGGCTCCCTCAATGACACTTTGTTCATGTCTGACTGGGACCTGCTTCCCACACCAAAGACATGTACATGCAGTGATTCAGAGAATGCCTGTGGGCCCAGCGGTAGTCCTAGGAAAAGCTCCTTGACAATTTTTGGATCTGTGAAGTAGAAGCCTTGTCATCCTTTAAGTCAACTATATCCCCTTAGGTTGGAAGTTCATGAACTGGGGTTCCTGGGTGGGTCTTAGGAGGTCAGAGAACCCTTTACAATTATTTGCAGTATTTGGTGTAACTATGTATATGTGTAAATTGTGTCAATTCCTTTAGAGACAATTCATAGCTTTATTGATATTCCTAAAGGCATACACATGGCCCCCAAGAGATGAAGAATCACTACCCTGACTGGAGTGTAGATGGTGCTTTTTAAGTAGTGAGGAGCCTTCAGAACATACAAGAGAGAAACCAAATGTGTCTGGGCAAAAATGGTAGGAATAGGACTGGGAATGAAGTTTAGTGAAAACTCAATTAACTGAAATGTTACAAGTGTTAAGTTTTTGCTTCTGAGAATATATCCAAGGAACTCAAATCATTCTATTAAAAAGATACCTGCACATGCATGTTTATAGCAGCATTATTCACAGTAGCAAAAACATGGAACCAGCCATGGTGCTCATTAAAAGTGGACTGGATTTTTTAAATGTGGTACATGTGCAAAATGGAATATTACACAACCATCAAGAAGGATAAAACTATGACTTTGCAGCAACTTGGATGAATTTAGAGTCTATAATACTCAGTGATCTATCGCAGAAACAAAGAACCAAGTACCACATGTTCTCATGCATAAGTGAACCCTGAACATTTATCATAATACTATAAGAAAGGGATTGACAGTAGTGGGAAACTGCTAGGGATGTGAGTATACAACATCAATAAGGGTACCTGATTTTAAACCAGGAAAAGTGGGGACCAAAGGGAGGCCCAAACTTTACCTTTACGATGACCACTTGTATATCTAATCCTGAATTGTATCCCACATCTTAAAAAAAAAATGCCCAAACCCTTTTTTTCACCACCTTTATAACATATAATTTCCTGTATCAGTAAATAAACTCTAACAAACACAAGTGATTCTCTTCCACATTGCAAAAGATCATGCCATATCACAAGTTTTTTTTTTCATTCTGAGTATTGGTACTGACACTGTGTGCTTCAAGATGTCAGAGGATAGCCGGGCTCAGTGGCTCAGCCTGTAATCCCGCGCCTTTGGGAGGCTGAGGTGAGTGGATTGCCTGAGCCCGCGGGTTTGAGGCCTGCCTGGGCAGCGAGACCTCATCTCTACAATAAATCAAAAAATCAGCCGGGTGTGGTAGCGCATGCCTGTAATTCCGGCTACTTGGAAGGCTGAGGCAGAAGGATCGCCAGAGCCCAGCAGGTCGAGGCTCGGTGGCCGGGAGCGGCCACTGCACTCCAGTCTGGGTGACAGAGTGAGATTCAACAAAAAAAAAAAAAGTCAGAGGTTTACTCAGCATATGAGCAACCTAAAAGTTGGTGGGATTTAAAAAAAATAATTTCATAAATAAGACTTACTTGTTTTTTATGTGCTTATTTGCTAAATGGGAGCAATGTTTCTGATAAAGTGGCTACTCTGGAGACTTTTAAAAAAAATTAACATGTCAGGTAGCATGTCAATTAACCTCATAAAGGATTCTTTTTCTAGAAATCTCCAAAAGTGGACTAATGTCATAAGAACTGATCTAAACTACTATGACGAGATCATTCCTCCCTGGGAAGAAGATTGAGACATGACCCAGACACAGTGCATAGGACACAAGAGCATAGAGTAGGGTATGGCTGTCATCTACCCCAGCTGCTAAATGGCAACCAAGTATTGAGAAAAAAAGTATAAGCTAGCAGTTATTTATTTTTTATGGTTTGGAATCTGCATGGAACCAACCATGTTGCCCATCGAAGTTATTTTAAGATAAAAATAAAGTGTTAAAGGAACTAAGGTCATAACTTCTAGAAGCAAGAAAATTGAAAGAAATAAACAATTTTTCAGACTTAAAAAAGCTCATCCTGTGGAATATAGAAACAGACTATTGTTTTATTGTTTTTCTTTTCCTTCTTGCTGTAGTAGCTCACTTCATTATGAGTTCATTTTTCTTCTTGTTAACTATAACCTTTAATGGTTCTTACTATGATTAGTAGTACTAAAGTTTCCTAATCCTCACATGCAAAAATGTCTTTATTTTGTCTTCATTCTTGAAAGATACTTTGGGTGTAAAATTATGGGATATGGTCATTGTCCCCCTGCACTTTGCAGCTGTTACTAAGTGGTTTGTTGACTTTTGTTGTTGTTGTTTGTGAATAAGAAGTCTGCTGTTTTATTGTAGTTCTTTTATAGATTCTTTAGTTTTTTCCTCCTTCTAGCTTTTAAGATCATGTTCTTTTCTTTGATGCACACAATGAGATGTGTAGATGTGATTATTTTTCTTTAGCCTGCACAGCCCATAATTTTGTCAACCAAAGGACTCAAATTTCTCTTCAATTTGTAGTAATTTTTGTGAAATTACCTATTCCCCTTCCAACTTTTTTCTCATTCTCAATGTTGTCTTTAGAGTAGGTTATTGCATCTCATTTAATTTATCCTCTGTGCCTCCTAATTCTCCTCTACTTTTTCCATCTTGGTATACTCCCATAATGATATATTACTTCAACTATGTCCTCCAATTTATACATTCTTTTCATGTATACTATTTAGGCCATATGTTGGGTTTTGTTTGCTTATTTTATTTTAAATAGCTTTATTTTCCTTCAGGCTTTCAAGTTATTTTTAAAAAATATTTATATGTTGCTAATTTATGATCTCCTGTTGTTTTGGGGACCTATTTTCTTTTTTTACTTATTTGAAGAATTTAAATAATTTATTTAAAGTCCATTTTAGATCATTCAAATATGTGTGTATATATATATATATTTATACACATATATATATTCAGATATGAACTCTCACTTTTGTTGAGTGTCTTGACAGCTTTTTTTGATTCTGAATTTTCCTTGGTTTTCTACTTTTGTTTAAAAGTTCATCCATCATCCATAGGAGTTTTCTCTTGCATGAGTCTTTCCTTCCTTGTGGAATGGTTGTTTCAGGCTGTGTAGTTCACTTAACTCTAAACCAGCTCATATATTAATCACTGAATTTGGGCTTCCTCATACCTGAATGGTCTATTTCTATCTTTGTTTTCTTGGGCAGTGATAGTCCCTGATAATGATCTTGTACTGGGACTTCAGCTACAATTGCCTACCTTAAGCAATCTGTGCATTTTAGGGAACAACCTTGGATGGGGAGCATTATGTCAGCCCCTGTTTTCATGTTAGGAGTGTAACCCTAGTCCCCAACTTCACACTGCAGGCTGTAATTTCTACTTAGCTGTCTGATCCTAGACTGTCTATATCCAGTCCTAGCACCAATGGGACTGTATGTCTTTGGCCCCCATTTATGGCTGTACTTTCCGTCTATGTTTTATTCTACAAAGAGTTTTCTTTTGTTTCTGAGTATAATTATGTAGTTTTTGAGTTTTATTTGTTCATTTTTCTAGTTTCACATTTAATCTCCTTTCTTTGAAAAAGGACAGGGAGATTTCTCATGTGCTCTCTTTGCCATAATGAACCAGAATGCCACCAGCTATTCATTCTTTCTAATGAAGATAAAACAAGAATAAATGGGTTTAAACAATAGCAGAGAAGGAAGGAGTTTGGAAAAAGGAAGAACTTTGGGACATAGTGGTTTTTAAATCCTAGAATAAATGACTCTGGAGAATTTTAGTCTATTTACTGAATCTTTGTAGAAATGAAAAGGTACCCACCCATCTGAGATATAGTTGGCACAGTCCTGCTTTGAGACAGGGCAGTGGATGTGATGACTCCTCTGTGTTCCTTCCACCCCAGTGATTATTAGGCATGAGGAAACTCATGCCTTCAGGGCCACAGAAATGTTTGGTCAAAAGAAGGGGCTCTGTTTTTTTGTCTTAACCCAATGGAAGGCACTCTGATGAAAATGTCCTCATTTGAAAAGAAAATATTTAAAGCAAAGATGATGAGCAATCTCTATATCAAAAGGAGAAAGCAAATAAGCAAACCATATGCCCAAGGTATTAGTTTTATGTACTGTATTGTAACAATATAGACTTAGGAAAGCTTTCACCAAGGTTGTGACAGACTTAGTGGAAGGGTCCTGCCTGCCATGTTTATAGTTCAGTTTCCATTGGAGGATCCAGAGGAGCCATCTCATCCCATGTGTTTCTTGTTTCCCCTGGCTCTTGCTTTCTAAACTCCTTACCCCTAAATTTCCAAGGGTCCCACCTATTTTTGAGATTATGTCCTTCAGCTCCTGCTAAACCA